AGGACCTCTCCCTGCTGCCTGGGAGTCATTCGGAGCCCCCGTCCTAGATCATGGTGCCGCTGCTACCCCATGTCTGGGGTGCAGGTTTGCCATCTCCCACGCTGTCCGGGGCAGCTGGCTGTGTCCTCCCCACCCCTCCCCTTCCCTCCCTGTGACACAGAGCACCTGGAGGACCACATTCATTAAGGGCTGTGGGCTAAAGAGACACCGCAAGAGCAACGAGCAGCAGACTTGGTTTCGGTGCAGAAGCCGTGGGACATTCCACATTGGTGGGTCAGAAGGTCTCTTAATTATCGTGGTGTCAGTTGGGCTCCTCTGTTTCTACAGACCCAGAGACCAAGATTTTAGGGAAAGTGGTTTATTTGAGAGGTGATCCCAGGCCACACCAATAGGGAAGTGGGTAAGTGAGACAGGGAGGGAAGGCAGCCATCGCTGGGTGCATTGAAGAGCAGGTTATGGCTGCAGGCACCTGCGTGTAATCCCACAATGAATGTACCTCTGAGTCGTCCCACCCAAAGGAGAGGAGACTGGGATGTTCATCAACCTACTCCTGCCCTGGTTAGTTGCAGGCTCCAGGCATTCCAGCCAGCCTTGTTTCCAGCTAAAGAAAGTCTTAGGGGCTTGTAGTAGAAAGCTGCTGCACAAACTAGCAATAATTACGGTAACTACCATACTAAAGAGGATAGTAGCTGTCGCTTTGTGAGTACCTACTGCATGCCAAGTATTTGTCCTGGACACCCTACTTGCATCATATCATTGGTTCTCACTGCAACCCTGTGAGACAGATGCTACACTTCGCAGATGAGGAAACTGAGGCTCAGAGTGGGTCAGTGACTTGCCTGAGTTGTCACAGCCAGGAAGAGGTGGTGTCAGGATTTGAACCCAGGTTTATCTCCTGACCCCACTTCCCTTTTAGGAGAGAGCACTATATTCTGGAAGATTAAGGCTCCCAGACGTCTCTCATCTAGGCATGTATTCCTCTTATACAGGGGTTCTTGAACTTTCATGTGTGCTTGCCAAAAATTCACATTCCCATCAGGCAAACACTAAATCAGAACCTCAGAGGGTAAGTTTGGGGAATCTGATTTTGAGACAGGAAGTCTCCTGATAAATTGCACACTAGTAGTTCTTTCTTTCACAGGCAGTGAAAAAGGAAAATTTTACTTGGGGGGAATCATGTGCATTTCTGGCTGGAAAATGATTCTTCATAAGCGGGACATAGTGTGTCCGCATGGTGCAAAACCTGTCGTTCCTCTTCCCCCTCCCTCCAGGGTCTGTGTCATTTCAGTGCATGGCTAATCCTGCTGACTCTATTAGCAGATCCTGGTTGTGCAGGCTCTGATTCCTGACATCTGAACTTCAGGCACGGTGTAAGTGCCTGGGCAGCGGAGATATTTCTCTCAGGGTTTTCTGCATGAGCAAGGCTGCGCTTCTGCTCCTAATGCTGCCCTTGGAAGCCCCTGGCAGGAAGGTCAAGTGCTCCATCTCCCATTCTCCAGCCAGAAGCAAAGGAGGGCTTTCCCATTACTGCAAGAGACGAGCAACAAGGGACACTGGAGAGGAAAATGCCAGGGAATAGGACAGGAAATGGGCTGGGGCAGTGGGAGGCCTGTCCTGCTCTGTCCTGTATGGCAGTGGTCCAAAGGTTAAATGAAATTGCTTCTCTCTGCCTCAAAGTGCTGCCCACGATAGCAACCTTCGCATCTGTGAGTTGCCCTTCTGGCTGGGCTTGTTAGAAAAGACTCCTCGGTGGGGGTGGCAGAAAGGAAACATTTCTTTCTGGAAGGTTCCAGAGTGGAGTCCAGCTGTTCCAAGTGCAGAAACTTCTTGGTTCAACTCCCCTTTAGCATCAGCAGATTCCCCAACTGAGAGCATCCCAAACATCAGTCTGACACTGTCAGTCTTCAGAGACTTCCAGGGGCTTCTCAGTGCCTGTAAAATCAGATGCAGACTCTTTGCCATGCCCTCCAGGCCCCTGCCCACCTCCCCTTCCTATCCTCACTGCCCTTGCCCCCATCATTTCAGCCTCATTGACCTTTCACTTCTCACCTCTGAACCCACCAGGCTTGTTCTTGCTTCCAAACCTTTACGCCAGAACTCACCTCCAGAGGCCCTCCCAGGTGACACCTGCCCAAAGAGGCTGCTCTTACCCCCATCACTCTCCATCCCATTTCCCTGTATGATTTTTTCATGAACTTACCACACCTGCAATTATTTCATTTATTCACTTAAGTGTTTATGATCCCTCCCCATAAACACATGGCTTCGCTGCCTTGTTCACCATGTGTCCCCAGCACCTGGGGTATACCTGGCCCAGTTCAGCATTTGTTGAATGAATGAAAGGCTCATTTCACATTTAGCTGAGCTCTGCTTCAAGGTGTCGATACAACACAGGTTATCCCACTGAGGCTGGGACCTTCTGCATCAGCCTGAGAGACTGGGGGCTTTAGAGAAGAATAAGACAAAGCCAAGTCACAATAATTTGGGATTTTATTACCCTTGTGACGTCGGGCAGCTGCAGGGGAAAGAGCTAGCTTAGGTTTGTCTCAAGGAAGGACATTTTAACTCTGGAAGTTACAGCTCCCAGGAGCTTTCTGCTTCACCCACACCTACCTCCAAGATGTAAAGCAAGAAGAGTGGAAGTTTGGAGGCATCTGGCTGCTGGTTAAGAGTTGGGCTCAGGACCTCTGTCTCTCACTGGCTATCTGACATTGGGCAAATCATCCAAATTTGCTGAGCCTCAGTTTCTCCCTCTGTGAAATGAAGATAACAATAGTTGCTACTTCTTAGGGCTAAGAGAAGAGTACATGAATTACGTAAAGCACTCAGAGCATTACCTGGTATATCATGAGCACTACGTAAGTGTTAGCTCTTATTATTTTCAGAGTCGTGCAGTCCTTATGACATTCATGACCAACAGTACCTCCTAAAGGTTTTTAGCCATCTTAGACTTTCCGATGCCAAGAGATGCCTCTTCTTTTTGGAAATTCCAAATTGTCTAGGTCGAATTTTAGCAATCTAACTCAGTCATTCGTTAACATCCTGTTATGATTTTGTCATGTGTACCTTATCAGCTCTACTCTTATTTATTTACTATTTATGGTCTTTTAAACTTAAATAAATAAAGATGAAAACATATCTTGTTATTGTGGATGGAAAATCAGCATCACTTGCTATTCACATAAGGTAACCTGAAAAAAAAATCACATTAAAAAAAATTGGATTAAATTCCCAGGGGATACTGTTGCCTGTCCAAATCTGGGTCTGGGGTTAGCAAGGACTTCTCTGTGATGCAAGCCAATTGAAAGAAAGTTGGAGAGGGGCTAACATTCTCACGGTGTGACTCAGCACTGTGCCACGCTGCCCCTGTCCCTCCTGGCTTCTTCTGCACACTCTTGGTGGCCCTAGGTCTAACTTTTCCATATCAGAGAGGAATTTGGGACCCTAAGAAAAATTGGGGAAGTGTGCACAGACTTTCCAAAACAACCAGCTAGACCAGTGGTTCTCACACTTGAGCATGCATCAGACTCACCTGCAAGGCTTGTTAAACACAGGCTGCTGCTGCCCGCTGCATCCTGGCCTCAGAGGTGCTGATCCTACAGAGCTGATGTAGGGCCCAGAAAAGCTCCCAGGTGGTGCTGATGCTGCTGGCCTGGGAACCCCATTTTGAGAACCACTGAGCTAGACCAATGAGGGGGAATCAATGTCAAGTCTGTCCCTGAGTTTTGAACCCAGTCTGTTAAAGAGAACTATCAAATCCCTAGACGGGAAGGGGATGGAGGGCAAATCTAAAGTTCCCACTTCTCTGTATAGTGTTCGTGCGCTTCTGTTTTAATACTGAACCTCTAAGCACCCCAAGGCAAGCCCTCTGGCAGAGATGATGGCTGTTGGGAGTTAGGCTGGTGTGCGCAAAAATGTAAGGGAATCCAATGTGATGTGGATGGAGCACTTACGGCACCTTCCACAGTGAATATCAATCTTATTGACATAGTTTTAAAAGAAAAAGACAAGGCCAGATTGCAGTAAATTGGGGTTCTTGTCTCTGTGAAGTTAGACAACTGTCATGGGAAGAGCAAGGTGAAATTTTAGGCTTATCTCAAAGGAAGACATTTGACTCTAAACTCTTCAACTTAATACGTCTAAAACTTAATACCCATTACTAATCTCATCCCAGTTGGAAGCCCCTGTTGGAGTCTTCTACATCTTGAGCCTTTAAGAAAAGTGAGAGGCTACCTTTGGGACCACTGACCTGCATTTTCTTGCCAGGGCAAGTCAGTTGGTCTTAGTTTTTCCATCTGTAAAATGGGAATGACAATGATACCCATTTCGTAAGCTTGCTATAAAAATCGAATGACATAGTATATGTAAAATGATTAGTAACGATGGCTGGCAAATGAGTCTTTAAGTAAATGGTAGATGATGATTAGAATTGTAAGGATGATGATGACAAATATGGACTGATAGGGGAAAATACTTTCCAAAGCGTGACGTCCATGTGGGCACTGTTGGAGAAGCAGTTGCCACCCACTCTTGGATCACCCAGGACTGACCTGAGAGAGTGGAATGGCAGCAGCCTCCCTCCAGAGTTAATGTCTCGGATATGCCTGTGCAGTAGCTGCCCCAACTCATTGCACATCTTGGGATCCACAGCACCCAGAGCTTTCCAGAACAGTGGATGTCCAGTGGGGGCATCCCATTCGTCCATCCACCCACTCATCCATCTACTCCTCTATTCATCTACCCACCTATCCACCCTCCATCTACTCATCCATCCATCCATCCACCCACCCACCCATTCTTCCACCCATCTATCCACCATCCATCTATTCCTCCAACCACTCATTCATCTGTCCATCTATCTACCTACCCTCTTATTCATCTAATCCGCTATTCATCCATCAATCCATCCATCCATCCACCCATCCATCCACCCACCCACTCCTCCACCTGTCCACCCACCCATCCTTCCATCCATCTTTCTCTGTCTTTCTCTCTCCCAGGTTAAAGTGCCACAACAAATGCACCAAAGAAGCTCCACCCTGTCATCTCCTGATCATCCACCGAGGTGGTAAGTATTTAACACTTGCTGCCCTAGGGGTCAGTGTGGGTGGGGGCTCCTGCAACCCATCCAAGATAGCTGTTCCACCCAGGCTGACTCTGGACACCTCCCGATCCCTTGATACTTGCCTATTTCATTTCTTTCTTTCTGACACCCTTCATCCTCACACCTGTGTCCTTTATCCATCCCCCATCCCTGTTCTCCCTGTTCCTTGCCTCTGTATTAGTCCTTCTGATACTTTAGTCCCCAGGTTTATACCCCCCTCCCTAACCCTGTTCTCTCATTCTCATCTCCTCTCCTAATTTGCAGTGTCCTCTTTCCCCCAATCCCATTGTTCTTCCTTCCCACTGGATTAGTGTTTTTCCATTATGTGCACTCCAGACTCAATCAAATGGGAAGGGGTCTGACTTGCCTGTTGATTTGGGCCAACTGTGTTTCATCCCCTAGAGCCCTGGGAGTGTCTGGGCTAATGTGTCCTGGAAGGGAGGTAGCAGCTGCCTTTGGGAGGGCCTCTGCCAGCCTTCCACTGTGGAAAAGCAAGACCAATCTAGCTGGAAGGAAAGACTAGAAGGAAAGGCTTTTCCCTGCCTGCCAAGGACTCAATAGGAGACACCTCCTTGGGAAGCCTTGTAGTCCAGCTTTCAGAAGAGTTCCCCTTGTTTTCATGCTGTGGGGTAGTTACCCCAGGACTACATCCTTCACGTTGCCACTCATCCCTGGAGGACTCTTTAGGCCTGTGCTGTCCCGTGCAGTAGCTACTAGCCACATCTGACTATTTAAATTCAGATTAATTAAAATTAAATAAAAATACAAATTTAACTAATCACACCAGCCACATTTCAAGGGCTCAGGAGCCACATATAGCTACCACATTGAATAGTGCAGATATAGAGCATTTTTATCATTGCAGAAAATCCTGCCAGACATCCGGTCCAGACCTTGCCATTCAAAGCGTGGTTCATGGACCAGCAGTATGAAGATCACCTGGGAACTTGTTTGAAATGCACAATTTCTGACCCCATTCCAGATCTACTGAATCAGAATCTGCATTTTTAACAGGATCTGCAGGGAATTCCTGTGCACTTTAAAGTTCAGAAGCACTGCTCTAGAGTGGGAGTCTCATGTCAATTCAGATGCCTACTAGGGCAAAACAAGTGTCCTAAATGTGAAGAGCTGACCAGATGGGGCCATGGCAAACTGGAACGCCTGGGCAGCTTCTAGAGATGGTAGCTGCTCCAGCAACAATGCAGACCTGTGTTAATAGCATTTCTGATGTTTCAAACAAAAGTTCAAATAGAGTTTTATGTGCCATATATTATTTTCAAATGTGAGCAACTTATTAAAATATTTTAAGTTCCTTCTGGCCATCTCCCTGCCACCCCTGCTCCCCTCCATCTATGGGTTGGATGGTGCTTTAGAGCCACCAGGGAACAACTTTAGGGCACAGCAACTCGCTAATCCAATACTAAGCCCTCCTTTCTCATCCTCCCTCTACACCCCTCCCATCTCCCCTGGTCCTGGTCAGTGCATGCTCAGGGGGATCTGCTCTATTTTAGAATAAACCCACGGGACACTTAAGAAGGTGGCAGATTGCTGTTGAAACTACTGTGATGTGTCTCAAAGCCAGTGGGTAGCTGGTGTTCAGTGATCTTTGCATTGTTTATCTCCACAAAGAGAGAGAATTGCAAGTGAAGGAAAAGCCTTCAGCTCTCTTCCCTTGCCCCTTCCTACCCCACATCCATAATTAAGAAGCATCTGTTCCTTGAGGAACTGTATACACTCAATGAGGCTATTTTAAAACCTGAATTCTCATTGCTCTTGACCCACTGCCTTGGGTCAGCTTCACTGGGAAGATCGCCTCCACCAAATTCCTCTCCATAAGGGGTCTTGCTGGAACCCGACTCCCACGTGGAGATGAGACCCAGCCTGTGGAAGGTGACCTGCTCTTGGAGGTTGGCATTTGAAGAAGGGCTCCCTCCCACCACCTTCAAGTCCGTGTCCCCTTAACTCAAAGGTGGCAGGTGCCTATATGTGCAAAGCAACCTGAACTTTCCAGAAGTCTACAGCTTCTTGCTTTTTCCCTTCCTTGGTAGGAGGTTGAAAATATAGTCAGTTTCCATGGTGATGGCAGCTCAGGCTAAGCAGATAAATTAAATCCCTGGTCAGCTTAAAGCTTTAACTTCTCAGCCAACACCCTTTTCTCACCCCTGCAATAAAAAGCAACTAACAGGTAACAACATCAAGCATCAAATTTGAATTTGAGCTTCCTACTTTTGTCCCTTTTCTTGTTCCCCGGGAGTAATAGAAATAACAAAAGGGAGAGGGGCTTGGATGATGCAAATTGGATCAAGAAGCATTTATTTAGCATCAACTGTATGCCCAGCTTCCTGTGTGGCTTTAGGCATGATACCAAGGGGGATGTCTGGAAGAGCTGAGCCTTTCTTTCAGGTATCCAAGGGCTTTGTTTAGAACAAATGATGTGTTTTGATGTGCAACAGGCTGCTCAGGCCTGAGAAATCCTAAAAGTAACGAAAAATGATCCTACCATAAAGTTTAGAAGGGCACAGTCAGATGGATATTGTGAGCTTGTCCACTGATTACTGGCTCTGAGAAACCAGGAACCTCTTGTGTTTACAATGAGTTTCAATTCTGAAATGAATGCCACAATACAACATTATGATATTGAAAAAAACCCTGATAACTTGTTTTATTATTATAATTTTTAATTACCCAAAGTCATATATTGACAATACAAAAATTTTAGAAACCACAAAGAACATAGTGACACAAGAACTGTCACTTTTAATGGAAGAATTCTCTTCCACTCTCAGGGGGGTGGGCGGTCAAGGTGGGGTCTGATCTATGCACTCCTGATGTCATCGAAGCCAAAGTGATACTTAAACTCCCAAATTGCTGTTTTTACCCCTACGGATCCAGCAAGGTTGGTCCGGACAGAGTCAGTCCCATGTGACATCAACAACCCTCTACGGAAACCACCCCGGTATTCAGACCTGCACATCAGTCAGACTCTCCCCAAAACCAACAAAATCAACAAGGTGAGGCTGGGCTTCTGCTGGGTCCAGACATGTGGGGCTGGTACCACCAGGTGAGAGGTGGGGGAGGAAGGGACTGATCTGGGAGTATGGCCCTCCCCTCCCAGCCCACCTGGGCTCTCCTGGTTCTGTGCTGATTGTGTTGAGTAGAGCTTGGGACCATCCAGCAATCAATGGTGAGGTGCGTGTGCCAGAAGTCTCTCTGATTTAGAGAGAGGGCACTTGGGAATGAGAATGAATGGGTGTGTTGAGGGTGCAACAGGGATCAGAAGAGGGGCAGAAAGAGAGTTTCCTTCCTGATCCAGACCACGCCTGCTTTGCTCTGTGAGATGTTTCACCATCTGCTGGGATCAGTTTTGCAGATGATTCTGGGCTTTCTGACACATCTGTTGAATCAAACCACCAAGGAATGGGATGGGGTCTATTTCTGAGCTTCTGATGGAGACTAGGTGGACAAATATCTTTGGGGCCCTGAGCTCTGAGCAGCAAACAACCAGTTTGGTTGACTTCTGGCTCGTCTCCAGGTCGGTGGTCAGCAGTGGGTTCCTCTGTGCACCTTTCCTTCCATTGTGGTCTGGAAATTATTAGCATGATTTCCACATTCTTTCTTTGGACTGTTGATGGGGCTGCATCAAAGCTATCCTAGGGATACTTCTCCCAGCCCCACAGTAGGAGGCAAAGATTGCACATGCCAACAGGTGACTTCCCAAGCTTCACAAGAAGATCACATTGTGTTGAAGGTGGATAAAAGATGTATCAACACAAGGACAGGGGAGATCCCAGATGTGCATTGTGATGACCATCAACCTCCCATTGGCAAGGCACAGTCTTGCTTCTCTGCATAAGGCTAGAGAGAGGATGCTCACTCCCCAACACATTCTTCACATAGCAGCCAGAGTGATTCTAATTAATTTCACTCTCTTCTTTAAAAACTGTCCAATGGCTTTCTAGTGCATTTAGAAAACAAATCAGACTCTTTGCTGCAGCCCACAAGGCTATGCATAATTTTGTTCCTCCCTCCGTCTCTGATCTCTCCTTCCATGCCTCCCCACCAAAGCCCATATGTTATTTTCCTCTCGTGCTATCACCCACAGTTTTTACTACTAGATCTCAGAGCCAGTCACTATCTGGCTCCTTATGGCATCATCCTAGCAGATGAGAGCGCTTGGCTTCTGGTGTCAGGAAAACCTGGCAGCCAGTGTTGTCTTCCTCCATGTACTAGCTATGAGACTTTGGGCAAGTAACTTAATCTCTCTGAGCCTCAATTTTCCTACATGTAAGATGGGGGTGCTCCAGTTTCTTACTGCTGTACAACAAACTACCCCAAAGTTAGTGGTGTAAAAAAACCATTCTTTTAATATGCTCACAGAGTCTGTGGGTCAGGAATTGGGACAGAGCACAGAGGGGATGGTCTCTCTCTGCTCCCATTATTCAGGGACTCAACTGGGAAAACTCACATCTGGGGGCCAGAATCATCTAGAACAGGGATTGGCAAACTGTGGCCCACAGGACAAATCCAGCCCACCACCTGTTTTTGTGCATATCGTCTGTGGCTGGTTTTGCACTGTAGTGGCAGAGTTGAGTAGTCATGACCGAGACCATGTGGCCTGCAAAACCGAAAGCATTTACTGTCAGGTCTTTTACGGAAAAAGTTTGCTGACCCCTGATCTAGAGGCTTCTTCACTCACATGTCTGGTACCTGGGCTGGAATAAGTCAAAGTCTGGGCTCAGCAGAGATGAGGTAGACCCCTTACGTGTGGCTTGGGCTTCCTTACAATATGGCTGCTTCAGGGTAGTTGGGCTTCTTACACGGCAACTCATGACTCAAAGAACAACTGAGCTAGCAAACAGGGCAGTGTCACCTTACTAAGGGAAGTGTCACAAGCCTGCACAGATTCAAGGCGAGGAGACATAGACCCTGACTTTTGATGAGAAGAGTCCAAAGATTTGTAGTCATGTTTTTAAATGCCCATGGTGGTCAATAACAACCTCAGAGAGTTGTTGTGGGGATGAAATTAAACAATCAACATTTACATGCACTTAGTTCTGTGTATGGCACATAGTAAATGTCCAGAAAATCCTAACTATCAGCTTAAATCCTGGAGCCTCCAATCAAATGTCATGTTGGGTCCATGTTTCCTTTGTTATTTGCAAAAGGAAATAACATTTCACACAGGTCTGAAGGAGAAGGGATCCCCACTGCTGGCAAGGTTGAGGGGGCTCAAATACAGCTCCTGGAAAGTAACTGTGTATCCCTTATAACCCATTCTTTCCTTCGTGACATCATGAGGGGTGAGGAACTCAGAAGTGCCTCTAGACCTTTATCTCTGGCTTTACAGACACAATGATCCTCTTGGTGTCACATGGGACAGGAACATGGGTCAACTGGATCAGTGACTGTGACATTGTTCTGCTTGTCTGCCAGCGAGAGAATTTGATAAGGGAAATACATTAACCTCTATTTAGAAAGCAGCTTTGACACGAAGGTGGATGAGATCTATCATAGGCCTGGGTTATTTTTTCCCCTCTCTCTCTTCTCACTGGCTTCACACAGATTCTTTTTGTCAGGCAATGATGTGGTTAGTGCAATAGATTTCTGGGCCAATTTGGTCTGAAGATTTCCTTCTCCTTGCTCTTTGTCTCCTCTCCTGTCTAGCTAGTCAATCCAGGTTCACAAAGGCCACGTTTTTTCACCTAACACAGTGGTTAGAGTGTAGGTTTTGAAGTGAGAAGGCTGGGGCTTGCAACTCAGCTCCTCAACTTGCTGTGTGACTTTAAGAACATCATTTCAAGATCTGCCTGCCTTAGTTTTTCCCTCTGCAAAATAGGCAGTATAATAGGAGGTACTTATTGGGACTGTGGAGAGGGTTAGATGTGTGATAGGTATAAAGGATTTGGTCCTGGATACTCAGGGCATGGAAGTAGCTTGATGATGAAGAAGACAGGAAAGGAGGAGGAAAAGGAGGAGGAAGAATAAGGAAGGAGGAAGAAGAGGAAGAAAAGGAGGAAGAGAAGGAAGAGGATAAGATGCAGGAGGAGGAAGGCGGGTGGAGGAGATGGAAGATGGAGGAGATGGAGGAGGTGGAAGAGAAGCAGCAGCAGCAGCAGCAGCAGCAGCATCTGCCAGCTCCTTCAGGGACCAGTCTAAAACCCCTGTTCTTCAACATCAAGGCATCAGAAACACCACCTGCAGTGGTGGCAGAGGCTGAAGATTTGCCTGCTGCAGTCAAGCTGTTTGAACTGGCTGCACGCTGGCTTGCTGCTGTCAGTTGGTTGTAAGGACAGAGACCTTCCTAGGCTAGCTCAACAAAATGAATTATCTATTGTAAGAATGGACATGGAACAATAAGAGAAAGAGAAATCACCACGTAGGAGCTGAGGCTCCTAAAACCAGGCATGGAAGATGTCTTGAGCTCAGGCCAGCTCCTTGGACATGAAGCAAGACCACGGATCATTGTTCTGGTCCTCCATCGTGGCCATGACTCAGCTACTGTTTGCAGGTCTGCTCTGGTCTGTTACTGTTGACCGGCTTCCTCGTCCTTTACTCTTGTCTTTTCTCAACGTCATTGTTTCTGCCTCCATATAGTTTCTACTCATCCTAACCTCTGCTTATTTGTTTTCTGGACTGTTGTGGCTCCTCTCTACTCTTTGACCCTCATCTCTTCTCAGCCTTTGCTCCTAATGCTTTCTGCTGTTCTTCCTATTGGCCCAGCTCATCATTTCATTCCACATCACAGGCCACAGATAAGCTGCCATTATGATCTGACCTATGGTCCTGTGTTGGGAGTGGAGTGGGCCATGGAGGTCACAAGACAATTATGTCTGCTTATTTAGGACCGTCCATTTAGTGAAGGCTGTAAGGTTGGAGGGTGAGGATAATTTCCTTAGGAAATGATCATGGGAGAGCAGTTACCATCACTGCCATGTCCAAATCAGTGTTCAGCTAAGTGAAATGAGGACCTGGGAGATGAACATGCTTCTGTTTGACTTCCAGAGTCAGACGTGAGTTTTGTATTACTTGGCACAACATTGTGTTTCTGCTTCTGGGCTGGGGCTTGGGATCTGGGTCACTAACTCTCTGTGTGACTCCAGTAAGTCACTCCCCTGACTCTGAGTCTCTGTCCCCAACTACAGAATGAAGAAGTTAGACTAGGTGGTTTTTGTAGGATGTTTCCAGCTATTGTCTGTGCTCAGAAAGAGGAATTATGCCATCAGCCCTTATCTGCATGATCTGGTAGAGTTTAGTTTTTTCTCTGATAGAACAACCTCCAGTTGCTGATCCTGCTGATGATAATGACCATCACCCTCACCCAGCAATAATGACCGCACACTTCCCATCCCTGCTGAGGTAGGGTCAGAGGAGGCCTAGTGGAGAGTCGGGACATTTACCACTACCATCATCAGCAGGTCAGCGACGGCCACAGGGGAGTAGTATGCGGCATTCCTGTTCCTCTCAGCGAGGGTGGTATCAGGGGGGACCTTCGGAGGAGCTGTATTTCTAACTCCCACCAGCAGTGATTAGGAACCCTTCCACTCTTCAGGTGACAGCAGAGGCCAAGTGGAGAACCTGGACTTCTACCTTACCTGGCAGTAACAAGGCAGGACCTCCCCTTCGCCTACTAGAGCAATGTCACAGGAAACCAGTTAAAACAGAAAGTTTAAATAAGATCCAGAGTTTCATAACACCCAAGTTCCAGGCTTCAATTGAAAATTACTTGTCATACCGAGAACCAGGGTGATCTTAAACTGATCCAGAAAAAGACAATCAATAGAACCCAACTCTGAGATGACTGAGATGTTAGAATTATTTGACAACGATTTTAAAGCTTTCATCACAAAAATTTTCAATAACCAATGATGAACGTTCTTGAAACAAATGAAAAAAAAAAAATAGGAAGTCCCCATGAAGAATAGTCTCAGCAAAGAATTAGAAGATGTAAAGAAGAACCATATGGAAATTTTAAAACATACAATTAGAAAATGTGATAACTGATATTGAAAAA